ATCTTAATGGAGAGAAGATGGACCTTATATACAGAAAGACTATGGGAGGGATCTAGGAGTGAATTTGAATGGGAGTGGCCAGTAAACTGGGATGAACAGGACTCCTGGGACCTGGACAATGAGCCTAGCTAGGATTAAGTGTGGGAAATGGCCAGGGGCCATGGGGAGGGCTAGGCTAGGTTAAGGGTAACAGAATTGGGAGATTGGGTATAGCCACAATGAAAGGCCAGTTGATGAGATCATAGCCTCAGGCAAATGCCAGAGATTTGGCCAAGTGGGAAAGTCCAGGGTTTTTCCTTTTTGGGGTCTAGATCCCATCCTCATCATTCTGACCTTGGAGGCCCCAGGGAGTAAGAGTAGGCAGCAACCAGCATGGTGCTAACCAGAGTAGCACAATGCCTTAGAGCTCAGACAGGGATAGCACAGGCCAAAGTGCTTTTAGGTCCCTCATATTCCATGCTGAAATACAGCCCCTGAAGGGCCCTGAAGATCCTGCATCCTGAACCATTTTAAGATCCAACGGGCTTGATTCCTGAGAGGTGGAGGTCAGTCTGAAAACACAGGGGCACTACAGTGAGATAAAGCAGGTTCATTCCAACCCACCCACAAATATAGCGGGGATAGAGGCTGGCCCTGGTACAAAGCCTCAATTTAGGAACTAACGCTGATGAATAAGTAAATCAAAGAAAACACCATCCAGCATAAAAAATTATTGCAATTTAAGACAGAGACTGAAAGAAAAAAAATTCCCACAAAGACTACATGAATACTTAGAAGAAATGAAATGAGATGAAAAAAGAAATAAAAGCTATTGAGGAAAAAACTGGAAGGAGAATAAGTAGCTTAGAAGAAACAATGGTAAATCTTACCTAAGAAATGGATACCCTGAAAACTATAATAGACCAAAAAAAAAAAAGAATGATTCCATGAGACAGCAAGATATATTAGAACAAAGTCAAAAGAATTAAAAAAAAAAAAGAAAATGTAGAATATCTGACATTAAAGAAACTGGAAAAAAGTCAGGGAGAGATAATTCAGGAATCATTAAATTTCCTGAAAACCAGAATTAAGAAAAAAAAAACCCTGGGTACTACATTTCAAGAAATTGTAAATGAAAACTGCTAGGTCTATTAGAACCAGAGGAAAATATAATATTAGAAAGAATCCACTGACTACCTTCTAAAAGAAATCCCAAAAGGAAAAATCCCAGGAATGCTATAGCCAAAATCCAGAGTTCCCACATTAAAGAAAAAATATAGAAACAAATGGAATGAAGCAGTTCAAGTATCAAGAAAGTACAGTCAAGGTAACATGTAGACCTGGCAGCTTTTACTAAAAACTGGAGATCTTAGAGATCTTAGAATTATAAAAGACAAAAGATACTGCCTTACAATGAAGAATAATTTACCCTGCAAAGTTGAGTATAGTTCTACAGTGGGAAAATGGATTTTTAATGGAATAGAGGACTTTCAAGCATTTCTGATAAAAAGACCAGAACTGAGTAGGGACTTTGGAATAAAAACACGAATCCTGAGCAATTTATTTATTTATTTTAAATACTTATTTATTCAAGCATTTGTAATATTTATTTCACATTTATTTTTATTGTAATGTTTATTAAACATTTATTCAAGCAACTAGAAGGAGCTATAGGATGATATAGTGTTAACATCCTACACCTTTAGGTGATATATAGATATAAACATATGTGTGTATATATATGTATATGTATATATATATTAATCTATAAGCTATCTAATGCATCCATCTATCTCTTCTAAAGGTATGGATAGGAGGAGAAAAAGCATATATATAGCACCTACTATATTCCAGGTACTGTGCTAAGTACTTTTTACAAATATTATCTCATTTGATCCTAGCAAGAATCTTGTGAGGTAGGTGCTATTATTATCTCCATTTTACAGTTGAGGAAATTGAGGCAAACAGGGATTAAGTTACTCATCCAGGATCACACAGCTAGTAAGTATGTAAAGCTGGATTTGAACTTAAGTCTTCTGACTCCAAGTCTAGCATTCTATCTACTACCTATAATATCTCTAATTGGATGTTCTATAGACAACTTGAACTCAACATGTCCAGATTAGAATTCATTATCTTCCCCCTCCCAAATGTTTACCCTTTCTCCTATATTCTTGTTGAAGTACCACCATCCTTCTAGTCATTTAAATTTGCAATATCAGTCATTATCAACTCTTTCATTTCCCTCATCTCCTGTGTCTAACCATTGGCTCTTTGAGGTCAGGAAAAGTTTTTTTTTTTTTGGTCTTTGCATCCCTGCCACCAAATACAGTACCTGACACATAGCAAGTAACTAATAAATGCTGGTTGAATTGATTTCTCATTCCCTCCTGTTTAGCCTATGCTGAGATATCTATAAATAATGAAATAACATCTATTCCTCTTGATACATGCTGGGGGATGGGGGGGAGGGAGGGGAGAATTCTCTATTCAAAATTGGAAATGGCTTTTTCTATTCTGGTGTTCCATGGTTGGAGTCCTACTCTGATTTGCATTTCCTGTAAGTTAGATGGCAATCAAGATTAATGAATCACCCAGGGAGGCAAGTATTTTGCTTGGTTTTCAAATTACTTTGTTTTTTGTTTTACCACATAGCTCAAGTATCCAAGCTCCATCTGGTTCACAATGTCATATTGCATTATAGTCAGAAGTGTTTTCATCAGTTGTCCCTCTATGTAGGCCATTCTAGCCTTATCTTCAGAGCACTTAAAAGTGATTTGTGAGGGTTACAAACTTTTCTTCTGATCCCAGATCCTTTAAGTGATAATCTAACCATTCTTCCAGGTCTTTCACCTGTTGTTCCAGGGCCCTTAGTTCTTGCTCCAGTCTCTCCTGAAGGACATCCAGGCTCTCTCTCAACCATAGTCCCATAGGCTTGACTGGTTCCTTTGGTTGGTCCTTGAGTTGATTATCAGGGTTCTGAAAGGCAGAATGCTAAAAATGTTTCCCAATCTCATCAGTCTACAAATATCTTTGATCCTCCCCCCATCATATCCAGTCATGGTACAATGATTGCTCTGTCAACCTCAAATCCAGTATACTTAAAACACAAATGACATCACCATCTTCCTTCCCAATCTAAATTTAGCAAAAGAGAGTGAGGAAACCCAGAGGAATATACCACCCTCTAAGGATTCTAGGAAGATTTCTTGCATTGACTGGCTAATGTGCTCAAGGCATTACTCAGAAAGACATTATTTCTCTGCAATCTCATTTCAAGAACTTTTTTCACACAGGGAAGTGTGGACCAGGGGCATAATTGTGGTCTACTAATTCCTATGTCAGACCTAAATATATGGTGTACTTTGAATGTTTAACCCATCTCTCAAATTAGGGAAGGAGAGAGGGGAAGGGCAGCCTTGATACATGCTCTCTCTGGATTGTGATTCTGGATTGGTGGAAAGAATACTAATGCAACCTCAATAAGGGGGTAAAGTTGTGAGAGCTTTGGGGAAGAAAGATTTTCTCCATCCCTGCTTTGAGAGAGGGCACTCATGGTTCTAGACTCTCTTGGAACTGATTCAAGACATGTAGAGAAGAGAAAGACAGACTTTGGAAGGCAGCCATGTAGGCAGAGATGGCTCCTTAACATGTCTCTGATTTCCAGTTTGCTTCCTTAGGGAATTTCCCCTTGAGCGAGATCAAGGCCTCTCTTGGTTGAGCCAAGATCTCATCCCAATCTTATGTAAAGAGCTCCTTCACTCTTGGTGTATTTCTTATATATTCTAATCTGCATAACTTCAGATTTTTGCTCACTGTTTGTTTGGATAAACAGATTCCCTCACTATTCCCTATTTGTGATGGTTTTTTGTTTAACTAGAAGTTGGTGAGAAGGAGCCAAGCTGTCAGTGTAAGCTTGAAGTACACTTCCTCTTTTTAAGGGAAAGCAACGAGGAAAGCTAATGGCTTTTTTCCCCTTGCTTTTGAACCTAAAAATTGTGCCCCTAGATCAGAACTATTTTGGGGCAGATGGAGATAGATATCATTTTAGTCCTGAATCAGTCCCCAAGAGAACCATAAGTGCCCTCTCTCAAAGCAGGAATGGAGAAAATCTTTCTTCCCCAAAGCTCTTACAACAGCTTTACCCCCTTATTCAGGTTGCATTAGCATTCTTTCTACCAATCCAGAATCACAATCCATAGAGAGCATGTATCAAGATTGCCTTTCCCCTCTCTTCCCATTTCTCAGAGTAGCTACGTAGCGTAGTGGATAGAGCTCTGGGCCTAGAGTCAGGGAGATTAATCTTCATTAGTTCAAATCCAATCTCAGACACTTACTAGCTGTGTGATTGTGGGCAAGTCACTTAATGCTGTTTGCCTCAGTTTCCTCATCTGTAAAATGAACTGGAGAAAGAAATGGCAAAACACTCCAGTATGTTTGCTCAGAAACCCCAGATGGGCTCACAAAAACTCAAATATGACAGAAACCCTTTTTCTCAGAGAAGAAGAGACTGACCTGCCTTGTGCCCCTTCTTTTGCTCCCCTCTAGGCAGGGATCATAGTATCCCTTGGAGAGAAGTAGGCAAGATTCCAGAAATATCTATCAATGTCTCCATTCAAGCTGCCGGTCTATACATTTAGGCATTCCATATGGATATGCACAACTTAATATGTAACACATAATCTTATTACATATGCAAAAAAAGTCACCAACTTCCCTGGCCAGTATCATTTGAATGGCAAGAATACCTCAAGCTTATACCCACACCCTGGCCCCTTACCACTGAAAGTTAGTTATACAAAAGACCATCACAAATAATGAATAGTGAGTGAACCCATTTATCTAAAAAATAGTGAACAGAAATCACAGAAGTTATGTAGATGAGAGTTGCAAGAAAATACACAAGAGTGAATAAACTTTTTAGATAAAAGAGAAATGAGATCTTGGCTCAACCAAGAGAAAGGACCTGATCTCACTCAAGGGGAAATTCCCTGAAGTCTCTAGGAAGACAAACTGGAAATTAGGGACAAGTTGAAGAGACAGCTTTGCCTACATGGCTTCCAAAGAATGTCTATTTGTCTGTCTGTCTTTCCCCATGGATCTTGAATTGGTTCCCAAAAGAGTATGGAAATAGGAGTCCTCTTCCAAAGCAGAAATAAGGAAAGGTGTCCTCTCCCCGAAGGTCTTGAACCAATTTTTGCCCCTCATGCAGTTACACAGGGGCAGGGTTGCCAGAATGTGGGTTCTCTCTGTTAATTCAGAATCCCAATCCATAAACAGCACAGGGCTATCTCCCTCCCCCACCTCTTGCCACCACCACCACCTCTCCCTGCAATAAGGAGTGGGTTATACATGTAATGCTATGTCTGTGGCTTATGGATATCTTATAATGTATACTTGAATGTAAAATCTGCACCTCAATACTGTATATTTGCATCCAGTGTAATTTACAGAGACCACTAATTTTTTAAGGAATGTGAGTGTGTGTGAGAGTAGATGTAATAGGCATGCCCTGATAGGAACTGAAGCAGCTCTTCCCTTCCTGCCTTAGATAAAAGCAAATTCTGAAGGTGTAGTCATAGCAGAGAGAATAGAACTCTTCAGTTGGCCACCATAAAGATTGGGAGTGGGTTTAAGGTGCCATGAAGGAATGGAAGAGGACACCAAGAGGTAGAGAGAGGGATATGCCAAGGGAACACAGGAATGAGGCTTGGTGATGGGCCAGAGTGGGAGAGGCATCAAGAATCTTGGTGCTATGCTGAGACACACACAGAGTGGGAGCAAGGGAACCACCAGGATCACCAGTGCTTTACAGAGATGCAGACTAGGAGTGAGAGCTGCCGCAGAACAACCAAATCCATATACATCCAGCCTAAGAAAAGGTGCCAGACGGAATGTTGCATTGACTTTAGGACAATTCTACTCACGAGGCAAGGACTTCTCTAATTGGTGCTGTGAGTTTTAGAGGACTATCACCTGAACTTATATGCACCATCATGGCATCATAGACTTAGAATGGAAGGGACTTTAGAAACCATTGCGTTTGACCCCCTAGTTTTACAGATGAGGAAATTGAGAAAAAGAGAGGTTGAGCAGCTTTTTCAGGGCCACAAAATTAGTAAGCTCCAGCGATACTGTTTTAAGAACAACTTTAAGTGACTAAGTCTTTTTGACCATTATAAATACCCAAATTAACTGCAAAGGACATAGGATGGAAGATACTATTTGCATCCAGAAAAAGAATAGAAGTATGTTTAGAATGATTTTACACACATACACAAACACATATTTGTATCTAATGGTAGCCATCTCTAGAATGGGGTTTGGGGGGAAAAAAGAAATTTGCATGATAACTTTATTACATATTTAAAAGGAATTGCAAATCACACATAATAGATCTGCAGTTTCATGTGCAATCAACTTTTAAAAATTATTATATTAGTTATGGAAATGCCTGTTTATTCCCTGAATTAAAAATAAATAAAATTTTAAAGAAATTACTAAACTCCTGAGAAGAGGTGAAATTCGAATTGTCTTCACTTCAGGTCTGGTGCTCTAATCACTACACCCTGTTGCCTCTTGGATGACGCATTTCCTATTGCTTTGCTAAGGGCTTGGACACAATTCTGTGTTGGCTACCAAATTAAGTAAATTTCTTTTCTTTTTAAAGCCTTTATTCAGGAGAACTGAAGATCTTTTTCTTTCTTTCTTTTCTTTTCTTTTTTTGCTTTTTGGTGAGGCAGTTGGGGTTAAGTGACTTGCCCAGGGTCACACAGCTAGTAAATGTCAAGTGTCTGAGGTCAGATTTAAACTAGGTCTTCCTGACTCCAAGGCCAGAGCTCTAGCCACTGCATCACCTAGCTGCCCCTGAAAATTCTTTTCAAAGCCATGAGTCAGATTCTGATCTTCCCAGCCAAAGAGGTAGACAACTTGGTATAGTGGAACGAGTTCTAGATTTGAAGTAAGAAGACCTGGTTTCAAATTCCTTTGGCTTGTTTGACTTTGGGTACATGACTTCTCTCTGAGCCTTGGCTCCATCTTCTACAAAAGGAGAAGTCTTAATTAGATGGCTTCTGAGATCCATTCAAGCTTTAAATGGTCTTCTAAGCTATCTTCCTACAGGCATAGCATTAATTTTTGCAGTCATGATAATGGCTAAACTTTTGTTTCTGGAGTGAACTAAGTATTTGTTTCTAATACTGTGGGGGCAGTTAGGCAGAACAGTAAATAGAGCACTGGGCCTCAAGTCAGGAAGACTCATCTCTCTGAGTTCAAATCTGGCCTCAGACACTTATCAGCTGTGTGACCCTGGGCAAGTCACTTAACTGTTTGCCTCAGTTTCCTCATCTGTAAAATGAACTGGAGAAGGAAATGGCAAATTCCTCCTGTATTTTTGTCATGAAAACCCCAAATGGGATCATGAACAGTTGGACGTGACTGAAAAACAACTGAACAAATTGTAATGAACACTTCCCATCATCTTCATGGTATATGACCAAAAATGTTACCTTCACCATTCACATAGTCCATGAACATTCATTGAGTGTTAACTATGTGCAACATACTATGCTATTTTTTTTTTTCTTTTTGGCCATTCACTTGCCATTCTCCAAGGAATCACATTGCTTTAGTACCTCATCCCAAAGGGAACACCAACAGAATTGTGTAAATTTGAGCAAGCCACCCAACAAATCTGCGTTCCAGTTTGTTTATCTATAAAGTAGGGATAATATGGACTGCTTATCGCTCGAGATTTGTGAGATTCAATGAGATAATGATTATGAAAGTGCTTCCAGAATGCAGAAGCACTACAAAAATGCAAGATGTTATTTCCTTTCTTCTTATAAAGAAGAAGAGTCATATCTATTACCCTATTCATCTCCTTTGTCCTTAATACCTCAAGATGCCAAGAAAAGTCACACTTGCCTCTTTTCTATTATTAATTCATCAACCAATATTTATTAAGCATTTATTATGTCTAAGATATAATGCAGGTGCCATGAGATCTAAAACAAGTATACAACCTGCCCACCATTTTCATACTGAAAATTTAACAATTAGCTTTTGTGAGATAGTCTAACTGGCTCCAGCACACACCTGAGAAAATCTCAGATTATTCAAGCATAATATATATTTTTCACTCTTTCAAGTGTTTATCTTTTCTTTAAAATGTAATTACAAATTCTTTGAAGGCAGGGATTATTTCTGTAGTTCTTTGTGCCCCTATAAACCTACTACAGAGCCCTAAATATAGTAAATGCTCAACAAATACTTTGTTCCATAGGGAAGGTGATACCGACAAACACGATAGAGTGAGCAAGAAAGAGGTCTGAGAAAAGGATAAATTATTGGTAGAAAAATTTAGACAGTATATGATGGAGTGCTGAATGCATGATGTGGATAATAAATAAGGGAGAAATGAGTTGAAAAAGATAGAGATCATTTCATGTTAAGGTTCTTAGGGAAGGGTTTATGAAGAGGTCATCTCTGAACTGGACCAGTAGAATTTGGATAGTGACAAAGAGAGAGGGTAGGCCAGTGGGAGCAATGGGAATGAGTATGGCCTGTACATGGATCCTTAAGGGTTCAACTACCAATCCAGGAGACCTGCGTGAATGGTTACTTCAAACCTAGTTTTCTGGTTCTGTACCTTGGAAGTGTCATGACTCTGGTGGTAATTACATTCTTTGATCCCTTCTGAGATCTCCCAGCTTTTTCCTGAAACCAAGACACAAACATTGCAATTCAGTTTTACAGGAAGTAGCCAATAAATGGTAAAAATAATTCATATTCCTACCTACAGTTCTCCTTCATTCCAGCCCCAACTCTGGAGGAAGGAGAGGGGAGAGAGAGGGAATGGTGACCATGGCTTAAGTCAGACTTCTTCCCCAAATACACCTCCATTCACCTGCTCCCTTGACTCCTCCACAGGGACATTCAGGGAGCTCAAGCTCTCTTACCTGATAACCACATGGCCACGTACAGGAACAAAATCAGCAATATCAGGATGCTCTGCAGCCCAGGGTGGAGAAATGGGGAAAAGGAGGAGAGACAAGAAGAGAAGTTAGAGTTTCCTGAGGACCGAGACCCATCTACAGCTGCATTACTTATAACACATAGTTAAGTATGGTACTTTCTATGAGAATTTAGTAAGTACCAAATTAATTAGTTCAAATTTATGCAGTCACAGCAATAACTTTGAGAGACTTAGTAAGTCTGATCAACACAATGACCTACCACAGGACTCATGATGAAATCTGCTTTCTATCTCCAGATAGAGAACTGATGGACTCAGTACAAATTGAAACATATATTTTTTCTCTTTCTTTTTCTTGCCTTATTATCATCATCATCATTATTATTATTTTGGAACATGGCTAATGCAGAAATTTGTTTTGCATATCTATACGTATTTGAAATGGGTTTTATTTTTCTTGCCTTCTCAATGGATGAGGGAGGGGGAGAAGAGAGGGAGAGAATTTGGAATTGAAAATAAAATAAAATTGAATTTAAAAAACAAATTAATTAGTTCAAATCAATAAATATTTGTTGAGCATTTACCATATACAGGACTCTTTGCTAGGTGCTATAGGAATATAAAGAAGTACAGACATAGTCTCTGCCTTCAAGGAATTTGTAATCTCATTTTAAAGATAAGATGAACACATGAAATGGTGAAAAATAGACTTTGTGCTTAAATAATCTGAGATTTCCTCAGGTGTGTGCTGGAGCCAGCTTGAAAGTCTCTAGTTGTTAAATTTTCAGCATGAGTATTTAACTCTTGGAAATTGACAAAAGCTAAAAAATCAGGGATTGACTTATTGTTTTGTTAGTTGTTTCTAGACTTAAAAAGTGATGGAGAAAATGTTAATAATGCAGACTAAACTTAAAATTGGATCATGGGCATATATTATGTATACATACATACATACATACATGTATATGTGTATCTATCTATTGATCTATCTTTACAGACACAGTTGTTAAACATTTATCAGCAAACCCCAGGTAAGGGGCTGAGAGACTCATTCTGTCACCTCTGACTTAAAAGATAATGCCTGAGGAGGTGTTGAGGTACATAAAGGTTAAGTGACTTGCCTAGAGTCATTCAGCAAGTAAGTCTCAGAGCCAGGATTTGAACCTAGGTCTTCCTGACTCCAGGACTTCCAGCACTCTATCCACCATACCACAAAGTCCTTCCTTTTATGAAGAGATTTCAACCAACCAGTCAATCAATCAACAAATATTTTATTAAGTGCCATCTATTGGCAGGTACTGTGCTAGACCCTGGAGATAAAGATACAAAGAATGAAACAACCCTACTCAAAAGTAATTTATATTCTAATGGGGGAGACACCCGGTACAAATATCTGTATCTCTCCATATTTCTCTCTCTCTTTCTATCCATAAATACCATATATATATATATATATATATAATGCATATATGTATGTATATACACACATACACTTGCAAACACAGAGCATAAATGTAAAGTGAATAGATACAAGTATTTTTGTTGTATCATTTCAGTCATGTCTGACTCTTTGTGATCACATTTGGGGTTTTCTTGGCAAAGATATTGGAATGATTTGCTATTTCCTTTTCCAACTCATTTTACAGATGAGGAAACTGAGGGAAACAGGGTTAAGTGACTTGCCTAGTTAAGTGACTTACTCGTACAGCTAGTAAGTGTCTGAGGTCAGATTTGAACACATGTAGATGAATCTTCCTGATTCCAAGCCCAGTGCTCTATCCATTGTGCCACTTATATTTCCAGAGTAGTTAAATACAAGGTGGATTTGGGGGAAGACCATAAGTATTTGGGAAAATTGAGAAAGGTTTCGCATAGAAGATGGTACCTTCGCTACATCATGAAAGAAGAGAACTCTATGAGGATATAAGAAAGTAATGAATTCTAGGCATGTGGAATGGTTAGTGCAAAAGACAGGAGATGGAGTGGCAAATATGAAGAAGAGAGAAAAGATCAGTTTGTCCATTTGTCTGGATCACAGAGTGCAGGAGGGGTAGTAATGTCCAATGATGCTAGAAAGATAGATTGGAATCAGGTTGTATAAGGCTTTGAAAGCAGGAGCTTATATTTTATCCTAGAAGCAATAGGCAGCCACTAGAGTTGACTGAATAGAAGAATCATTTGGTCAGATTTCTGCTTAAGAAAAATTACATTGGCAGCAGCTTGTAGGTTGGACTGGAGTGTAGACAGATTTGAGATAGAGAGGCCAATTAGGAAAATGTTGTAATAATCTAGGCGTGAGATAATGAGAGCCTGAAATATGAGTGGTGACTGTATAAGTGGAGAGAAGGGATTGGATACAAGAGATGTTGTGAAGGTAGAAATGGCAAAATTGGGCGACTGATTGGATATTGGGGTGAAGGAGAGCATAGAGTCAAGGTCATTGTCAAGGCTTACAAACCTGAGAGACTAGAAGGATATTTTGAATAGAAGTAGAGAAGTTTGGAAGAAGAGAGGATTTTGGGAGAAAGGAAATGAGTTCAGTTTTAGATATGTTAAGTTTGAGATGGCTCTGGAGTTTGAAATGTTCAATAGGCAACTAGTGATGTGAGCCTGAAATTCAGGGGAGAGAATAGGGCTGGGTACAAAAATCTATCAGTCATTTGCCTAGAGGTAATTAAATCCATGGGAGATGATGTATAGAGAGAGTATAGAGAAAGAAGAGAAGAGAATCCAGGATGGAACTGTGGGGAACATTTACAATTAGAGGGCATGACATGGATGGTGATCCAACAAAGGAGACTAAGGAGTGGTTAGACATGTAGGAAGCAATCTAGCAGAGAATAGTATCATAAAAAATCAGAGAGGAAAGCATATCTATGGAAGAGAGGGTAGTCAAAATTATCAAATGTGGCAGATAGATCAAGAAGGATAAGAATATGAAAAGACTATAAGATTAATCAATTAATAGACTGTTGAGAGTAATTTCAATTGAGTGATGAAGTCATAATGGAATGAGTAGTGGATGAGGCATCAGTGTTATATAATAGAAAGAATATTGAAGCTAATTATTAGATCATATTAACATAATAATAATTATGCTTCTACTTTAATTAGTTTATAGATTTAGTGCTATACTAATCAAACATTCATATACTTTATAGTACTAGACAATATAGTTACAAAATTTATTTAGAGGGACAAAAGGCCTAGGATTTCAAGGGAAATGATTTTTTTTTAAAAAGTAGTAATGAAGGTGGCATGACATTACATGATTTCAAAGTGTATTGTATGGCAGTAATCATTAAAGAAACCTTTTGAGCACTGATTTAAAAACAAAAATGTTCATTAGTAGAATGCACATAAAGAGGCATTCAAAGATAGAAGTCCAATATTTGATAAATTAAAGAATATAGAGTAGGGAAGCAAAGACTCTCTAGTTGACAAGCAGTAATGGGAAATTTGAAAGCAGTTTGGCAGAAATTAGGTTTAGGCCAGCATTTTACACCACATACCTCCATACACTTCAAATGGATTAAGAAACCTGAGTATAAAAGATCACATTACAAAACAACTAGAAGAAGGCAGAAGGAGATACTTGTTTTACTTATGGCTACCAAACATGGCAAAGAGGTGATCAAAAAGGACAAGATTGACTTTTTGATTACTGTATGTGTATATATATATATATGTATATATATATATATACACATATAAAGCTTTTGTATGAACAGAATGCATAGAGTAAAGAGAAACTGCATTGGGAAATTTTTTTTCCATGACTTATCTTTAATAAAGGGGTGCTATCAAGATACTTAGGAAATAACATAAATATATGACAAGAGCCATTTCCCAACAGATAATTGGTCAAAGGATTAATCAATTAACAGAAATTTATTAAACCCTTGCTATGAGCCAGGCACTGCGTGAGGCACTGGGGATAGAAATGTCTGAAATGAAATAATTCCTACTCTCAAAGAGTTTACATTCTATTTGAACAATTTTCAAAAGTTGAATTATAAATTATCAGTGACCTCATGAAAAAAAGACTCCAAATCACTGGTAAGAGAAATACACATTAAAAAAAAATAAGGTTTTATCTCATTCCCAGAAAATAGGTAAAGATGACAAAAATCAGAAACATTCATTGTTTCAGAGGCTATGAGAAAACATACACACCAATGCACCATAGGTAGAGCTATGAATTGATACCAACATTCACTAGAACAATTTGGAATGATGCTAGGGAAACACTGAATTATTCATGCCTTTTAATCCCATTACTGGGTGTATACCCCTCCCCCCCAAGGTGGTTAAATACAGAAAGAAATACTCAAAATCGTCTATCTATCTACTTATCTTAGCAGCAAAGAATTAGAAGCAAAATACGTGCCTATCAATTGAAGAATAGATGAATAAATTGTGGTATTTGAATATAATGGAATATTATTGTGCAGTAAGAAATAACACATTCAGAGAATTCAGAGAAGCACAGGAAGATTCTCATCAATTGATACAAAGAATTAGAACCAGGAAGATAACATCTACAATTATAATAATGTAAATGAAAAAGATTCTATTAAAAGAAAGGCAAAACATGACTAATTTTAAAAAAATTTTCTACAATTGTGGAAACAAATTATGAAGCATACCTCCATCTCCTTGACAGGGAAGTGGAGGATTATGGGGCAGAATGTGGCATACATTGATTATGTGGTGTCTGTGTTGACATTATTTTTGCTTAATTGTTTTTCTTTGTTACAAAAGAGGGTTCAATTCCTGTAGGGTTGAGGTTAGGGTAAAGAGCAGAGTATGACTGATAAAAAAACAAAAGACATTAATAAAAATTTATTTTTAAAAATAATATTGAAGTCAGAATCAGAGGACCAAATTTAGATTTCCTGTCCTGTTACTTATTAGCCCTAGATCCTGTAATTATACTTGTGTGACCTTAGGTTAGTTACTCCCCATTTTCTGGACCTTAGTTTCTTCATCTGTAAAATGAAGGGAGTCTTCCTGACTCCAGGTTAGGCATTCTATCCAATGCACCACCTAGCTGCCCTAGAGACTAGTAAAACATAGTAAATAATCAAGAGCTGAACAAAATAAGTATATAAATAGCAAAACACATGGCACAGATATGGGCTGATAGATATGGGCTAATCTCACCCGTTTTTTGTTTATAGAAGCATTGACAATTCTTCCAGATGAGTCTGCTTTTCTTCTCCAGACAATGCCCTCATGTTCAACCTGCATAGTCTAGGTAAAGATATTAAGAAGTCAAATCATTTCAACTAGACTTCCTGCCAACTCCATCTCACTGACTGAGTTCCCTCTCAAGACTACCTGAAGCTTCCCTTCACTCAGGAGTCTTATCCCATCACACTGATGTCATAAAAGGTGATGACTTTAGGCTGGGTATAGCCAAGTGGGCAGGGCAATTGAGGTCTTTGGAAAACCCAGTCTTGTCTATGTGGCTGTGGAAGTCTGAAGTAGGGAAGGCTTAGACAAGATTAGGAAGTAGGAACATTTTGATTTTGGGGTTCCTTTCCCAATTCCCTGCTCATGAAGTCCCTCTCACTGCTACAACCTTGTCAGAATATGCCTTCATTGACAGTGTCTCATACTCATCTAATTACCTCCCATCCCAACGCAGTTTACTTTTTCATTATTTCTTTAACTCAGGTCTTATTAGGTCAATGATAGCTAATTACCATTGAGATGTTCATCATCTGAAGGAATTTTCAGATAATATAGAGGGTCATATAATTTATCAACATAAATGTGTCAGTTATTTTTATCATGGCAGAATAAGGACCTCTTAGGTTGTTGTATGAGGAAAAGAGTAATAGTTTAAAACTTGATATATGTGATTTTTTTCTTGCCCTTCAAAAATGTTGATTCATTTTGTTCTTATCATAATTTGTTCTGATTATACCCCTTTGAGTATACCCCTCACTCTCTCCTTTCTCCCACTTGTCACCTCTTATCTTCAGCCAATAAGCTTTTCATTGTAAGTTAAAGAAATAATGGTGGCAGCTAGGTGGCAAGGTGGATAGAGCACTGGCCCTGGAGTCAGGAGGACATGAGTTCAAATCCAGTCTCAGACAAGACATTTGATACTTACTAGCTGTGTGACCCTGGGCAAGTCACTTAACCCCAATTGCCGTGAACAAAGAAAAAAAAAAGAGAAATAATGAAACCATTTGTGACCAATATGCTCATAAACCCAGATTGTGCCTATGTCCTCTGAAGAGCTCTTTGATCATAACAGTTGGATTGATGAGATCTTTGTTCATAAATCATTGTTTATATCCCTCACCAAAAGAGATCTTTGACAATAAGCCATCACACACATCCCTTACCACACACATCTTTTAGCCATTTGACATCAGGGATGGGATGGGTCATCTTTACCAGCACACAGGAACAATACATGTATTTGTGGATGCCTTCTCTTCTGTTTCTCTATCAATTAGCTCTACAATTCTCTAGCTTGATAAACTTATTCAAACTAAAGTATAAACTGCTAACTGCTAAGGAGCCTGGGAGATGGAGATTTATCATTTCAGAGCCCTGACCTAAGGCCTATCATTGTTTCCTATGTGCCCTGGGCAGGCCTATAGTGATCAGCATAGAGAGGGTCAAAAGATGAGTAGGTTTTCATGAGGTCCCACTCCGCACAAACACTGTGATTAAGAAGACCGACTCATGGTAAAGCGTGTTCATCAGAAAGCAGTCCCTTATAATTAGTTTAATCAGCAATAAGGTAGACCTACCCTGTCTTCTCAAGTTTGCTGGGTTTGTTGCAATGCCCATCCTAGCTATTTACTTTGGGAGTAAACATTAACTATGCCAATGGCTCAAGCTATTCAGCACCAATTTACCCTCTTAATGTCTGGGGCTCATAGATCTACCCTATGAGAAGATCTGGTTCTGCCATTTTTCTCTAGTCACTTCTGGAAATTTCAAGTTGAGACAGACAGAAGCTCTACCCAGACTCAATGAAACCCATTTCTAGCTGCCTAGAAGTAGCCGCATTGATTTTGCTCACGTGAAGACATTTTAATTTTATGTAATCTAAATGGTCTATTTTGACTTTTTTTTCATTATCTCTATGCTTGTTTGGTTAAAAATTCTCCATAGTTATCCAGGAGGGCCTTTTCACAAGAGCCACTTGAAGGTGTGATGAATAAAAAGTTCAAGAGACAGTTTCTGGGTAATTAATAATCAATTTTATTAATTATAGCTAGCAGTTAATTAATAAAATGATGGTCATTTGGCTTTCTCTCATAACCAAAGACAAATCATGGAGGTCGCTCAATGCTTATATATCCTTGGAAGAGTGGGTGTTCCCAATAGGAGGAAATAAACTTCTTCCATTTCTCTGAAATTAAGGAACAGCTTCTCACCAGCTCAAAGACACTTCCAAAAGCCATTTGTGACCATAGTTGAAGGCCTTTCCCATGTCCAAAGCATTGAGCTGATTGGATGGGCCTTTTCTTAGTGGAAACATTTCAAATGTCAACTACAGATGTTTGGTGACTGCAATTAAGGTAATTGCAGCACATCAATTGTAATAAATTACAGAGTCATGGAAAAGATTTTCACTAAAAACATTTTCTGGGAAAACAAACTGATCCCTCCAGGAAATTCTTCTGAGTAGCAGCACGTGGCTTTGTGATCTTCTGCCATTCACTTTGATACAAATTTCCTGGAAGCCCAGCAATGAGGAGTCTGAAGAGAAAGAAGGTTGAGGGTACCATTGGGGTAGGAGGCTTTGGAGGCTAAAGATAGGACATCATTAGTGGGCTGCTGGGGCAACTTTTTGTTGTTCAGTCATTTAGTCATGTTCGCCTCTCTGTGACCCTGTATGGGGTTTTCTTGGCAAAGATACTGGAGTGGTTTGCCATTTCCTTCTCTAGTGGATTAGGCAAACAGAGGTTAAGTGACTTGCCCAGGATCACACAACTAGTGAATGTCTGAGGCTGGATTTGAACTCTGGACCCAGCACTCTATCCACTAAGCTACCTAGTTGTCTCCAGGGGGCAACTTTATAGCACTACTCCACACTAGAGATCATCTGATCATAGATTTGGAGCTGGACAGGATGTTACAGGTCATTTAGTTAAATCCTTTTCTTCTTTTTTTATTTTTTTGGTAAGGGTAATTGGGGTTAAGTGACTTGCCCAGAGTCACATAGCTAGTGAGTGTTATGTGTCTGAGGTTGGATTTGAACTTAGGTCCTCCTGACTCCAGGGCCGGTGCTCTGTCCACTATGCTACCTAGCTGTCCCTAGTTAAATCCTTTTATTTTACAGATGAGAAAACTATGTTTTGGGGCAGCTAGGTGGCGTAGTGGATAGAACACTGGCCCTGAAGTCAGGAGGACCTGAGTTCAAATCCAGCCTCAGACCAAACACTTGACACTTACTAGCTGTGTGACTCTGGGCAAATTACTTAACCCCAACTGCCTAAAAAAAACCCCAAAAAACAAAACCTATGTTTTAAAAATGTCAGTTGACACATTCAAAGTCTCAAATTTACTGAGAGGCAGGGCCAGCCAGGACAGGATCAGGACTTGAACCCAAGTCTTCTGATTTTACTTTTGGAACTCTTTTCTTTGATCCGCACTGGCTATGTTCCCATGTTTCACACCAAGGTTGGAACATATATTGTTGAATCTGTTCTGCCTCCCTTCTTCCCCTGCTCTTGAGAGGTGATAATCTGCTGTCGCTGAAAAAAAGCCAGAGATCACTACGAGCCAGTCCAGACAGTGCTCACGCTAGGACTTGTGTTAGGTCTCTATCACCCAGGCTCCTGCGTTGTTATTAGTTTTTTTCATGTTAGTGTGACTAAGTTTCACAGATCACAGAACCATTTTGTTGTTGTTGTTTTGTTGTTCAGTCATTTCAGTCGTGTCCACTCTTCATGACCCCATTTGGGGTTTTCTTGGCAGAGATACTGGAGTGATTTGCCATTTCCTTCCCTGGCTCATTTTACAGATGAGGAAACTGAGGCAAACTAGGTTAAGTGACTTGTCCAGAGTCACACAACTAGTAACTGTTTGAGGCTAGATTTGAATTTAGGAAGATGAGTCTTCCTGGCTCCAGGCTTGGCACTCTGTCCACTGTGCTATCCAGCTGCCCCTGGTTTCAAAGGTCATAGAATTATAGAATCTTGCAGTCGTAAAGACCTTGGAGGCCACCTAAATGGACTACCCAATGCAGAAATTTCCTGTACTACATTCCCAAGAAGAGGTCCTCCAGCCTCCATTTCAATACTTTAAGTGACAGGGAACTTACTACCCTGTGAGGCAGCTTTTTCATTGATGAATAGCTTTAGTTATTATGATTTTTAAAAGTAAGTTTTTGTTTTTAGATCACAATAATTTCTGGAAATACTTCCTCCCTTGTCCTCCATTGAACTCTTTTTGGGACCATCATCACCATCATTATCATTTGGAAAACTTTGATTATTATAAAAGCACTGCCTAATTATATAATCACACAATCTCAGAGTTGAGAGAGACCGCAGAGGTCATTAAATTTAACCACTTCTCTGAAGTATGATTCTTTTCTACAGCATCCCTTTTTTAAAAAAAATTATTTATTTTAATATTCATTTAAAAAATTTAGTTCCCTCCCTCCCACTCCTCCCTCACCCATTAAGAAAGCAAGAATGTGATGTCAATTATTAATGTGAAATCATGTAAAACATTTCCATATTAGCCATATTGCAAAAAAATAAGAAAAATAAAGTGAAAAAGTATGCTTCAAGCTACAGACTCCATTACTTCTTTATTTTTTATTTAAAAAATTTTTGTATTTTAATTTTTTCAAATTACATGTAAAAACAATTTTTAAAATTCATTTTTAAAAAATTTGAGTTCCAAATTCTCTCCCTCCCTCCCTTGTCCCCTCATTGATAAGGCACGCAATTTTATATAGATTATACATGTGTAGTTGTGCAAAACATATTTCCATATTAGTCATATTATGAAAGAAAACACAGAAAAAAACCAAACAAACCCCAAGAAAAATAAAGAAAATAAAAAAATTCAGACTCTACCCAGTTCTCTCTGTGGAAGTGGATAGCATTTTCATAAGTTTTTTGGAATTTTCTTGGATCACTGTATTGATCAGAATAGCTAAGACATTCACAATTAATCATACTACAATATTGCTGTACTGTGTATATACAATATTGCTATTCTCTTGATTCTGCTCACTTCACTTTGTATCAGTTCATATAAGT